TTTGAGATTATTTTCTAAGTGGTTCCAATTCTCAGCATACTTGTGAAAATGACTTAAACATGTGCTTCTAAGGCCATGCACTGAGACTTTAAATGGTGATTGGGTGCCTGGTAGTTTTTGCTCTCCTACTCTTGGGGGTATTTGACTTAAGAAATGAAAGAATGATTTTCAGAAGATGGCTACCACTGCACTTCTGTAAATTAAATCTTTTGCAGTTAAAAAACTAAAACTGAAAATTTTCCTCTTCGGCTGTATCAAGGCTCTTGAAAATTTTACTCAAATCATCTGTGAGCTGCAAGGCTCTTCCTGTTTATACACAGATTCAGATGATCTCAGAAATAAGTAAAGGGTGAAGTGAGCATGGAGCAGAGATCTTTCACACAAGGATATTTCTTCTTTAGCCTAACTAGTGGAGTGAAAAGTTCCCTCAAAAGCCCTAAGACATTCCAAAGAAATAGACAGTTTCCCAGAAATTCTGTGAACACCCTGACCTTCATAATTTTCGCATTTCTACATCACTTCACATACAATGGTCCTAAAGCGTAACACGAACACTGGTCACTCTGCACAGCGCTCCACTTTGACCTACTCTTCCTTCATCATAATTAGCCTGGAGGATCAGCACTCAGCATCTGGGCTATTCACACTGCACAGCAAGCCCTGTTTCGTGGTGCCCACACTGTCCCACAACCAACTACTCCTATTAGTAGCCCTTCTGGAGTCATACCACATCCCATAGCTTGTAGCAAACCCCAAGCCTTCAGTCTCCCTGCAAGACTAACACAAATGCTCCCTAAATTACAACCAAAATCCAACCTCGTAACCAAATTTCAGCGAACGGTACAGCATTAGGGGTAAAACCCAGCCAAGAAGCTGAATTTATTCCGTGAGGTAGAGATAACCTTAGTGACAAAACTGTGAACTTCTGGCCCCTATGTAGTCCTCTGCTCTAGTTTGGGAACAAAAGCTACAAAATCTTAAAGTGAGCAGATGGTAGAAGACAAAGCATAATGCATTTTTATGGATCTTCTGTATGCCCTTTCCAATAGGTGATGAGCTAAGCTTTCCTTTCACTTACACTGATGCAGTCACACTCAAATCTCTGTTTAAAAATCTCACGGATTTGTACCATCATTCACAGCAAAATCCTATGAAAATCATGCCATCTGTGACATACTCGTTTTTGTATTAAAAAAAAAAAAGAGAAAGAAAGAAAAGAAAAAAGGAAAGAAAGAAAGAAAGGAAGAAAGAAAGAAAGAAAAGAAAGAAAAGAAAGAAGATCTCAAAGGCCTGTCTGGATATCACAAATTTGTACCAATTCTCATCACGTACTTAACTCAGCCATATATATCCTGAGTCACCTTGGCAAATTACCTAGGGATCTCTATCCTTAATGGCTTCTTCCTTTATCTCAGTTTCTCCACTTGTAAAATACGGGTAGAGATACATACCTGACTCATAAGTTGTGACATGAAGCTTAATTCATTGAATACTGCTCAATACCTGAAGAGATTTACAGATGAAGGGCGCCACAGAAACACTGACCAGCATCCAAACCACTCTTAACTGGTTTGGATATTTCTGTGCAGTATGAACTTTCAGCATTATTACAAAATGAACAGACGTGTAAGATGTGTTCAGACTTCTGTATTTCTAACAATGTTTTCTTAGGAATGTCAAAGCTCAAAAGCTAAGAAATAATTGCTGTGTAAGTGCATGCTAATGGCTTGCCTTGCAGATGGAAAATAAGAAACCATGCTTTCTTGTAAGCACAGGGTTGACACTGGTTTATTTCTTTCAAAAATACTTACAAAAGCCAGGATTTCTCTGTATATATGTGACCTTGATTCCTAGATGGCACATGGACTACTTAGAGATCATGTTACTAAGTTATTTGCAGTTAAAGGGGAAAAAAAGGCTAAAATTAATGGGTCACTGGGTATTTTCTTCTGAGAACTTAAGTACTTAACAGTAAGAAAAAAACAGTTTACAGCCAGGTGGCTTGAGGGGATATTTTGTTGAACACTGATTAAAAATAATTTCTTCTAAATGAGACCTGACCACAAAATGGGACCATTAACGAGCAGGGACATTCTCACCAGAAAGGAAACTATGCTTGATCGACTCCTGTACCGCCCACAAGCCCCAGGTCTTTTTCTTTCTTTCTCACTCTCTCTCTCTCTCTCTCACTTTTTTTCCTCCCCCTTTTCTCCTCTCCTCTTCTCTTGTTCTTAATAGCAGGGTAAATAAGCAGCAAGTGATGCTGAAATGTTTTCGGCCAAAAACAGAGGCCAAACTCCTCTGAGAAAACATTTGGCCTCTGTGGTTTTGTAATATGTTCCAGAACACTGAGTTCACTGAAGAACATTGTGAAAAACTCCCATCGCCTGGAATGATGCTGGGGAATGTTACTGTATCCGAACTTCCAATTGGTCCATTTCCTGCAGGCCTTGTTAAAAAAAAGAAAAAAAAAATAGTGCTATGTGGGAGTTAAAACAAGTTCTCATGGGAAAAATGAATGGCAAGAAATTCTAGCTTTAAAAGAAACAGCTAATCTGCTAGTTTGATTGTTCTTCAAAACTTACAATGAACCAATAATCCTAATTAAAAACACTTGGCCTAGTTCTCTAAAGCATCATAGCTTTTTCTATGCTTCGTTTGTACACACCATAGACTATTAGCTTTTTTCTAGTGCTCACTAACAAAGTGCTGACTTTGTTGGGATGGCTGAGCTAATTTCGTGAACTCAGTGTGAAACCTTAGCTAAACAAAATTGTGGTAATTTTCCTTAATTTGTAAAAGTGATTGGAGTGCAAACAAAATTTTCCTCTTGGGTCAATCCTATAATTTTCAATTAACTAAAACTAATCGGCAGGCGTATACTGAACCTGCATTTTGTTTAAAGGGCTGCAAGGCACTTCTGAAGGTCAGAATCCATTAATTGTTTTTATTTTAGTGTTATTTAGTCCTTTTAGAAAGGCACATTTCAGTTCAGGTTGCCTGCAAAAGAACTGAAAAACGCAGATTGTGTGAGGTACGATTTCAGTCACAAACAGAATTTATATATCTACCGTAACTCCATAAAAGTTGCGTAAGTAACAGAATTGCCCATAGATTGGATCACCTTTGATTTTATCATTGTTGTTTACTCTTTCATAACTTTCATTTACCGAATGAAAAATAATGTGTTTCAAACACTAACCTGAAAATGCATATATGGAAACACTCTCCCTACTGGGATATCTAAGCTCCACATCAGTCAACTGTCTGCTTTTGGGCAGAGGGGCTAAATTGCTGCCCCCCTTTTTCCTGGAAAAGCTAATTAATGATAATCTAAAAAGAAAACTCAAATGGGCCCAAGCCATTTTTTACATTTAAATGGAAAAAAGAAATCTGTAAAAATTTCCTTGCTGGGGGCGGGGGCACGTTTCCTCCCTTTCTTTTCCTTTGCACGCATACTTGATGTTTCACCAGCCCAAGAAGCACCACCCCGGTGGCTTGACAACTAGCAGAAGGACAACACAACTTATGGTGAGCAAGACATTTGGAGGAGAAAGGATTCACAGTGAAACTGTCCAAAACTCTGGCTGATACTTTCATGTGGTATAAACCGGCAATTCGCACCAGCTGGCAATTTGACCCTTTGCTTTTGCTTTTTCTTTTGTTCAAAAGCATTCAAACCCTCATTAACATTTTTGATATCGCATGTTATTATCCAATATATGAACTTCCCACCCATTGTCGAAATCATAACACTCACAGTAAACACACACTGTCGCACCAAACGCCTGCTGCTCAGCCAGCAAGGCGATACATGAACACTTTCAGACCTAGTTTAAAGAAACCCAGTGCATAATCCCAACTTGGGGGGGAGAAGGTATTTGGAAAATGACAGCAAAGCTTTATGAGGCACTTTTGTTCACCTGAACTAAGAAAATCGCATGAGCGATTCCCGGCTGGAATACAGGGGTCCCTTCTCTTCCTCGAGTCCGTGTGTGTACGCTCACAGCGGGAGCAGTACCTGTGCCCTGTAATTCAGAGTGCCCCATAGCCACGGATTTTTATGTTACATCATATTCTTAATGTTTTGGGAGCAATCAAGAGGGGGGAAGAAACTGCACTGGGTGGTGATGAACCACAATTCAGGTACCCAATTACAGAAGTAGTCCTGTCTGCATTATACGTCTAACTACAAGCATATAAGGACAAGCATGTCATAACCCAGACCAAGCGGTTAACTTCTGTAGCACGCATAGCTTCTGAGGGCTAAATGACATACATTCTTTTAAAAAAGTTAGGCTGCTGCTTGATTCATTTCCAGTGTGGCCCTTACCACTGCAGAGAGCGGTTTAACATTGACAGTACCTGCAGTCTCCTAGCAGAGATTTTTGTTCCTAACTATTCAGGCCAGGCCAGTCTACTCAGCAGTCTGTGTGGGCTGCCACCCCAAAACACACTGCGACTTACTGTGGCGGCAGCATCGACCGCGGTGAAAGCCACCTGGCCTCCCTGGGGCGCAGGGACAAGCGTGTGACGGTGAGACGGGCAGGCAGACAGGCTGCGGCCTTGAACACTTACTGGACCAAGTTACTACTATGACACGAGAGAAGAGTTATTCAGCAAGATGCTTCCCGGAAAGCAGATTCTCCATCGCATTGGTGTGGCCGGCTCTTGCCATTTGCCTTCTCCATCCGGGGGTTTAGGCACTGGAGCATGGGTTTTTCTCTTTCCTCTCTCTCCCTCTCCTGGGACAGGGGGTGCACGTGTGAAGAGATGTCCCATTGCAAAGACAATCAAAAAACCCACATCGGTATATTTTCAGATTCTTCTCTACAGTCACCCATTGCTGAAATACCTTAAATGTGTATCTTCAATGAAGCGTTCAGTCAAAATAATAAAACACAGTACAGCTTTTAATGACGAAAGCAGAAGCACCGCCAAGTGTGATATATTGCTTGCCCTATTTCTCCCTGTTATAACTAACACGCAAGCACCCTTACCTGTGTAAATGAATCTTCCAGGCGTTCCCTTGCAGAACTGCTTAGACTTGTAGGACAATGTGACTTCTACAACCCCCGGAATATGTCGGGGAGGTGTCTGCACTCGGATGGCATGAGGAGTAATCAGCTAGAGGAAAACATTGGGAAGGGAAAAAAGAAAAAAAAAAGCATTGTTAGATGCTGAATACTTCTTTAATAACACTTTCCTCTCAGATCACAGTAAACAAGCTTTAAAACATGTAATTAACCTGTCAATGTTTGAATACAATCTTGATGTAACCCACACAAAAGCCAGTGACTACAATATTTACAAGCATTCTCCTTCTCAGCTGTAACAACATTATTTCTGTTCTCATACATGGCAGGCGCTTGCATCCTAGTACAAGCATTAGTACCTCTAATGCAATAAGTTCAGCTCACACCAGCAGGATGCCTTTGTTCCTTCAGGTGAACATCAGGGTCGTGACAACAAATTTGTGTCCAACAAATCTGATTGACAAATGATATGTGGTTACGTGTTTGAACATGGCACCGGAACTGAGATTCACTGCAGAACGCAAGCCAGGGCAAGCTTTTAAATGCACTGCTCCCCAACTCACCCTCACCGACATCTGCACACTGCAAAAGCACTGTGGTTTAATTAGAGATCCTTTTCTATCCACATTGCAGAGGCATAACTGACCACTGCAGAAATGTAAAGTTTGACTTTTTAAGGATGCTATCTATTTCTTTGCACTAGTCAGAGCATTCAGAAGAGATATATCCAGTATAACCATTTACCCATCAATTCCAGTCTACCTCCGCTGCAATGACTGACACACACCTGGCGGGACCGTACGGCTAGTAACTCCTGCACATGTGGACTTACCCAGGTAAGAAGGGGACAAACTTAACTTTCTTCCTAATGGGGCTGGGGATTCTGATACCCTTACCACAAGAAGATGGATTCAGTGCTGCCATTTCCAGGTTCTAGACCATTTTTGCTCTCTTAAGATTCTGGATTGGATTTAAAATGTAGTCCTTGAAAACAACATTAGAACCATTCAGGAGTTTCACTAATTTATAACCGCTTAACTCAAATCTCTGCTGTGCTCATAAGCTACAGAATTGCCCTCCCCATCACTGAAATGTCCCTCTCCTCACTCATTATGTCCTTTGAGAAAAGGGCAGTGGAAAGAAGTACATAGAGAAGGTGATATGACCGTGCCCAGCAGCCAAGACAAGCTCTGGCACACAGAGGGTCCTTTTCTCATTGACTGGCATGTTACCAGTCCCACCCACATCCAGAGAGGCAAAAGGGACCAAGGCCACAACCAGCCTTGACAGTGAGCAAAGCCATAGGCACCCTAAGCAGACAGGCGAGTGCTCCATGCTGTTGATTGTCTTGTGCCCTGAACTAAAAACCAAAAGGGAATACATTTCCATAGAAAAGACCATTATTGGATTTTTGAAGAGCCAAAAGCTGACTGTATTTTTATTTTTACTAAGAATCAAAATTTTCAAAATCATATTAAAAACCTACAAAAGATATGACTTTTAACCAGCTTTTTGTTTAGGGCACAGGACTATCGCTCCCAACTCATACTGTAAACTGCCATGAAAGCTAAAATTCCCTAATAAGCAGTCTGTAAAAAAGCACAGGAGAGGAATGTCTGTTTGACAGCCATCAACTGTGTTACTGTGGGAAATGGCATACACGGTAGGAAGTTCCCCACATTTAAAATTAAAAAAAAAAAAAAAACAGTTGAGTAAAAGCAAAACTGCTAGCACCCTTTCTTTTTTTTTTTTCAGTGATTCACTCTATCAAACTGGACCAAAAAAAGCACTTCCAAGGATTTCTTCCACTTAAATTGAGCCATCTGAAAGTTGGATTGATCAGAGTCTTAAAGTCTAGGCCAATCCTCTATATGCCCTCAATAGTCAGTGTAGGCAGAAAGCGCTATCAAACAGCAATTTATTTCCCATGGTTTAGATACCTCCAATTTGGGATGAGCTGCCCTCTGGAAGAATCTACATTTCTCTAGTGAACTGTGGTGACAAGTTTAGACTAGGCACTTAACCATAAACATCTGAAGATAGCTGAGATAAATCTTACCCTCAAGTGGTTCTGGTTAACAGGGTGAACTGGCAAAATGAGAAAAGTTTCATGATATTTTGGGGGGAAAAATATTTATAAAGCCAGCAAAGAATTTTAGTAGTAAAGGTTAACATGCTAGTCTTACTACATCAGCATGTGCCTTCCACCCCTCACCCCCATTCTGGCATGAGCTGTAGAGACAGCTTCTGGTTGTATCTTTGAATTTCCCAGCATTTACTGGTCTGTCACCACTTTAATGTTCTTTAAACATAATTTGTGGCATTTTCCAATACTCATCTTCCCTGGTTCCCAAGAAATGTCTGACCTATTTATGGTCCATTGTTACAGAGAGCTGGGGAGAGTTAAGTAAGTTTCCTGGTTTGTTCTCCACAAACAGTTTAGTTTTCCTTTGTGCTCTGAAGTAAATAAATTTAACTGTGTTTAAAACCACAAATATACAATGCTGTCGCCCACACATTCCCAAAGGGTGAACATTATGTCTGAAATCCTATGGCTTAGGATGCTCAGGATATATTTTACTCCTCTCTTCTCTAGAACGGATGCTTGGAAGCATCGCAATGCTTCCAAGGAAGCTTCCCAATGCTAAAGGAAGTGCCCTTTCCTTTAGATTTTTCTCCTTATCTGCTACCGACCACTGTCAGAGATTCTGAGCTAGAAGGATCTTTGTTCTGGGTCAGTACAATCAGCCTTAGGTTCTCATGCACACAGAAAGGACTCAGCTAACTGTTATATACTAGCATTCCTCTTTACCGTCGTCATCTCCAGAAATTAGTTTTAAGGGAGAAACATTTTCACTGCACTTATAAATATGCCCTCTGAACCCTGCCTCCGGTCTCAAACTGATTCCACCCACCAGCACTACCAGGATCTGGGTTATATGCTGGGACAAGCTTTCCCTGAGTTGCTCTGGCTCCCTCTTGTAATGGGAGTGACCCAATGGGTGCTGCCTGGGTTTGCATATCCCAGGCCCACCCAAAAAAAAAAGAGCAAATCCGTTGTTGGCTTCAGTGCCTCCGGGATTATGGGATCCTGTCCTAGCTACACTACTGACCTGCGTCCTGACCTTGGGAACCCACTCCACCGCTTCCCAGTGCGCTTCCTCCTCCCACCTTTACACTGGCTGTACTGCCTTCAAAGCAGAGTCGGTCTGATACTCACATGTACAGCACCTGGAATCGGTGAGCTATTAGCATCAAGGGATATCAAAAATAAAGATAGTACTTCTGGAAGCCCCTGAGTTCCAAATTGTTGGATGCTGGCAGAGTGTTCTGGAGAAGCATTACTACACAATTGTCCTGGTGTTCTTATAGATATTGGCCATTGCCCTCTGCCAAACACAAGATACTGAGCTTTGTGAACCTACATGTCTGACCCAGCATGGCCATTCCTATGCTCTAACCTCAGGTGCAAACTCTTCGACCATTAATGGACATTATAACAACTGTAGCAATGACATGCCAAGAAATAAGAATTTGTAAATATGAGTTACCTACATTTTTGAACTTTTTTTTTTTCTAAATGTAAATCTTGAGCAAGGCATTAACCTCCGATTCGGAGATGAAACCACAAGCTGAAATCCCAGATCCAGCTTCCTCTTCCCCTCCAGCATTTGGCAAATTGAGTTCTGGAGTTGGACATAAAGCTAGCGACTGGGCCCTTTCTTCCAAAGGATTTTCAAGTAAGTTGGTCTGATATTTGGCAACTGCATTGGTTGTTTTATATACACTCTTATATGTCAGTTGGGACATACAGTGGATTAGACTAAAACCTGAGTTATGGAGATCTTCAGAATGGAGGAAGGAGCATGTCCTTCAAAATCCAAAACACATTTGGTTTGAGTGTGTACAACAAGCCTCTTTCTGTGGTTTGCTAATATATTCTAGACATTCTTGTGTGATACAGCATCATTTCACACTCTGAAGAGTGCCAGGTTACTTTCTTTTTTTAAAAAGTGACATTTTATAAGGAGATGTCATTAATCTGAGTCACTAGTTTATTTTTGCATGCCTCAGCTCTGGTTTGTGGTTAGGGAAATGGTGACAATCAGTCATAAATTTAACTTGGACTCTGTGTGAAGAGGACCATTAGAAGAGGAATGAAGAAAAAACCCACCAGCTTGCACCTACTGAGGCTAATGAACAGCATGCTTTCAGTGGGAACAGGACCTCTAAGGTATCTATATTTTCAAAAGTGACTACTGACTTTGCAGGCCTCAGTTCTGGGCATCCAGATGCAGATTAATAAGCCTTGGTTTTCAAAAAGAGGGTGCCTATTCATTTTTTAAAAATGAGTCAGGCCTCCAAAATAAGCACTCAAAAACAGAGACTTCCAAAATCAATAATAAACATAAAAAGCTGTCACAGAATTTGATTCAGCAGAAAAAAAAAAAAAAAAGTAGCCTCTGTTTTTGTGCTGTACAAAGGTAAAAACTGATGTTTCAGTGCTTCATCTTTTCTTAATATAAAAGAAGAAGAAGTGGTTTCCAGCTGACTCTGTGCAGTTGGAGGAATGTTCTTGGCAGGAAAATGTCTGAAGAAATAGTCCATTTTAAGCAAATACTGTGGAATATTTATAAGAAACCAATTCTGTCCTCACAATCATGTGTGTTTGCCCTGAAACTTGACTCTAGGAGTTTGCAGCCCCCCAACAGGAGAGAGAAACAACGGAGGATTTTATCAGCAGCTCAGATTTGGACTATGTGCAACAACGCACAGACCCAGAATGTGGCTTAAATAACTGCAAGTAACAAATCAGCCTGTTTCTCGACTGGACAAACAGAAACGCAGAGTCTGTTTGGCAAACACACTATTTGCTGGGAGTTGTTTGTCCAGATTCAACATGTGCACACGATACACCAATATTGTTTGTTTGTCAGTTACGAAAGTCCCTGAAAAAAAGGTATCAGATGGCCCATTTTGCTGTACTCTAAAAATATCAAGGCCTTTTAAAGTCATTTTTATAAAGTAATATGGGAGCTAAGGATTAATTGAACTCACTGGCTTAAGGTATCTGCATTTCTGCACAAAATTAATGTGACAAATTAAGTTTTTATTTAGTTCTCCCTGGCTGAGAAAGGTTGTAATTATGTTAGAGTGTTTACTGCTAAAATATATGTTTAAATAATAAATATGTGTTTCAGAAACCATTTTAAACCTCCTTTTTTAACACAGTCAACTCCATTTCAAGCATATAAATATTTCAATTACAGAACTTGAATACATGTAAAATAAATTAAAAATATATTATTTACATTTCAAATTATTTATAACATATGCAGCTTGACAGCAACAAATTCACTCTTCAAATGAACAATATTTTTTTGGCTGTTAACTTTGCTTCTGAAATGTGGTAGGTTTTATATTTTAAATATCCATGCGTCTCCGGTACTTACATAGATTTTGCTGTAATAAATTCTGAGTAAGATAGAACCTTTATGATAATTATTTTCACAGCACCTCTCTCAAGAAGGTGGCTAATCTTATTACAATGTTAGAGAAAGAAAACTGAGCTTTAAACAGATTGTGTGATTTGCAAAAGGTCCCATGCAAAATGAAGCTAATTTAAATAGTAGACTTCATCCTCAGAACCACCTGCAATTACAATTTAAAATGAAGCAAAAAAAAAAAAAAAAACGTGAAAATATTTTGCAAGATCAGTTCTTTTTCTTTAGTTTCCACCTGCCTAGCTTTGTTTTGGGCTTCCTGAAATTCAGTTAAAATTATGTTTTGTTCGGATCCACGAAACAACAGGATGAAATTAAAAATTCTGCTTGTGTTCAACCAGGAAATAACCTGGCCAGGTTTGTTCAGAACTGGGCCTGACTGGCAACACTGGATGAACCTTCTCCAGTTTTGAAACTGTACTGAACTTCAGAAGATTGACAGTTCAATCCTGCACTCTATTAAAGTAAAACAAAAATATTCTTCCTGGGCAGTGAAAATGTGCCAGATATTTTTAGAAATAAGAAGGCAAAAGAAAGAACTGATCTTCTATTTCATATGTGGCTAGTATGTGTAATTTGAATTATTTATAGATCACTGTTATTTAGAGATCACTCAGACAACTCACGCATTTCTACGCTTGTTTATCATGTTTGCCTGCTTCTTTTAGAAATCATTTCTTTTCCTCTATATGATTTTTTGTTGCTCTCATAGGTTATGAAACCAAGAAGCAATTCTATAGGGGAGAGAGAGTGAAATAGTTTTCACTCCGAGGCTTCTTGCAGCCCATGGTAAGATTTATAACACACTCACTTTGGTCTGACCCCCCCGCCTCCTCCCCAACATGTTTAATTTTAGGACAAGGCCTTGCGACCATCAGCAACGATGTCTTGACCAGCACGCACTCTCCCGAGTTTAGAAATTGCCAGTTAATGGCTTCTCCTGATAAACAGAATGAAGATTTGTAATGAAAGATCCAATTCTGCAGGACCCAAACTAGCGTACTTCCTCCGGCCTCCTCGCCTTTCCCACTTAAACATCTGTAACGATAACAGCTTCAGTCCTAGCCCACAAAATGCTTACGCTGGACCCAGGGGGCATTTTCATGATCACATAAGGGCTTCAGAATAGGGCTCATTTATTATATCTGCTTTTCTGGAATGCCCTTTCATCCACACTTGTCCTCAAGTGGAAGGATGAGAGAGAGCGAGGGAGAGAGGGAGAGAACAGTGAAGCCCATAAAGGACATTAGAGGATACTCTTCATATGGAAAAACTGCTGCCATGTGTGTAACAGAATGAGCAGGGCAAAGCGCTGGGTAGGAATTAAGCTGCCCGAATTTCTACGGCCCTGTGCGCTGAAAGGGGCCGTTCTGTTCATGCTGCTCATGATTTAATATTCCACAGACTTTGGGGAAATAAAAGGCTCCAAGCTCAATAATGTGCCAGGAGACAAGAGGAAATAGGAAGCTGAGAGGAACAGCAAAAGCAAAAAATGGATGAGAAACAAAAAAAAAAAAAAAAAAAGGTTCCTGTGGAACTATAGAGGCCTCCACTGGATATGGTTAAGTCTGTATTTTCCACCCTGGATACAAGACTGTATATTCAGTTACCATTAAGCTGATAGTACTTACACCAAGTACCTACGCTTTAAGGACCTGTGATTCAGAGGTGCTAAATTTCTGCAGTCCTCACCTCATTTAGCTGCAGCTACAAGTAGCCAGTTTCTCTGGAAAGCAGGATCACCTAAAGGTTCGTTTCCTGTGGGCCCGTAGCCATTGTAGTGTTAAACGCAGAATTATTCACAGAGGCATTTATCCTTTCCGTTCCTTGGAATAAAAGGCACTGAGCTAAATTCTGGGCCAGTGAAAGGAAATGCAAAACCCTCCGACTATAGTGGATTTCTGCCACAGGTAAATTTGACTAATTATTTTCATAAAACTGAATGAGGAAAGGATTCACATCTAAGTATTTGTTGTTGATTTAGCATGTGGCATAGAAAAAGCACAAGCTAGCTGTAAGCTAGACAAAGCTATTAGACGTTACCGTTCAGACAACACCTACCTCACTCCAAACCAGCATGGTGCCGAATATGACCTGTAACCCATCAAAGAAATTGTCTCCTATGATGATGACAGTGGCACCTCCTGTAGTCCATCCTTCACTTGGACTGATGGCTTTGATACATGGTGTAGCTGCTTTTCAACACACATGAAAAAGAGAAGTATTCTGCTGTTAGAACCAGATTTTAATGACTGAAGACTTGAGAAAAATAAAATAAAAGGTGCTTTCATTTCCCCCCCGTACTAACACAAAGATTTCGGCAATCTCATTCTTTCTACTGTATGTGCATGACCTCAGACTAAATCTTTGGAAGTATATTTTCTCAATTAATTTCTGTTTGTTTTTGTTAGCTGTATTTTAAAAGATCAACTTTTTCAAGTCCGTATTAACAAAAAAACATAGCATGATAGGCAGAGACCAGTTGGAAACGAGGACAAACTCCTACCTTTTTTCTGTATGAAATGCTGAATACTTGAGTTAATAAAATAATCTGCAGTGAGCTTGCTTTATTATCCATTATAACTTAGATTAACTATGGGAATGCCCATAAATACTGTGGAAAACATTAGCTAAATAAAAAAAAAAGGGCGTAACCCTCAGCATTTCTTTAAGTCCTCTACAATCAGACCCAGGTGGTTTCACTGTTAAACCACCCTGCCCTGCTTAATGCTTTAGCAACTTAAAAAAAAAAAGACATAAAGGAAAAGAATGGGAACGGAAGAAAGAAAGAAAGAAAGAAAGAAAAAGAAAACATTGCTGGGAAGTCAAAAGGTTTAAGACATCCCAGTTATGTTGTACCTACTAAGAAATGCTTGCAATGTATTTTGCCATATTCATAGCGTCCATCTCCATTTGCCCTAGCCACTTTCTCGGCATCATATGCCCTAAGTGCCTCCTGAGAGGATCCTGAAAACTCAAAGCGGTGTTCAAAGGAGTAAGCTCAGTTCTTGGTGCTGTAACATCTTCTGTTTTAAGCCTGTCCAAGCAGAAGTAAGCTCAGCTTTATACACCAGTGGGGTAGGGCACTAAAAATATTCACAGACTGCTTGCCCTTCTCTGCAATACTAAAGTTCATCTGAATTTAACTGTGCTGAACCCAGTGGAATAACACTCCTGTAAAAATAACCCAATAGAGACAAAAAGTCCTAGGTAACTGTCTGCTGTGGAGCCGCAGGCTGGCCACGGTGGCCTGTCTTCACAGAGACTGATGAAAACAAGTGACTCCACCCCAAATATCACCTACTTCTGCTTGCTAAATCTGAAGGAGGGGACACCATAACACCACCCCATTAGATAGCATTTTAAGTAAATCGGGTACCCCAGTGACTGCATTTTGTAGAGAAAGATTCCTTTAAAAGTAGCAAAACCCCACTGATCAACATCAGCATGGACAAGAAAGGCCCTTTCCTTTATGTAGAAACCCACTCTGCAGAGAAAATACTGAAAACATACGAGGGGCTGACGCTGCCTGTGCTGAGGCTCAAGTGTCATTCAGGTGTCAATCAGCAAGACTTCGTTATCTGCATATAAATCTGCATAGATAGCTGTTCTTGTAGGGTTGCAGGCGTTTGATTGTGAGCTGCCTCTTGGTCAAAAGGTTGGCTGAGCTGCTTGTTTTCCCGCTAAGGCTGAGTATTTGCCAAGGCAGTCAAAGGAGAGCACACAGGCACTTTGTCAGGTAAGGATTCACTAAGAAAAGAGGGATGCGAAGGCTACGCACGCATTAGCACCACCCAGGGCAATACCCTCACACCCCTGAGTTACTGAACACAGTTGTGGCTGTGTAGTGGCACAGCCCCTGCCCTGCTTTGTTCTCAAGGTAAGTAATTTAACTATAAATAAATTAATTAACTAACACAGAGAAGCTTGCTTTAAACTGCTCTAGACACAAAGTGCTGAAGAAACAGCGTGCATCAACATGATCATTTATTAGTTAAGTTCTGGTAGGCTGGACCTATTTGCAAGAGCTGGTGAGCCTGGCGAGGAGATCCTTCCGCGGAGCCTCACGGGCGGGCGCAGGGCTGGAAACACGGATGGAGTTGGAAAGGGAGCTGTTGAGTCACTGTCAGCAGTACGTGTGTCGGCGGGCACTGCTGCAGGCTCGCGCCACGGCACTGGACAGCGTACGGGGGAAGCAAACAGACCCCGTCCCCGCTTACAAAAGGTTGCTAGTGTCAGGCACAAACTTTTCCACTACTTAAGCTGATGCGGATGCCAGTTCAAGTGAGAAACACACACACATACACACACACACACACACACACACACACGCATTCACACGCAGAAAAACCATTACCCTATTCTAAACTTGGCCGAGCCCAGCAGCTAACTTTTACATGAGCTAACAAAAGAAACATCCTAACGTTACCGTCATGAAAATGCAGCACACACACAAGTAACTTCAATATGTTTAATTTGGATTCAGGTTACTTGCATAAAACTGTGCATAAAAACCACTGCAAAGTCCAAAACCAAACGCTTTCCTTTCAACTGAGCTCACAGCACCGGCTTCACAGTGAAAGCAGCTTTTCAAAATGCCATCTAGCCCTTCCACAGAATCAAACCTTTTCATAAATAAAATTAAAGTCACTTCCAAATTACACCCATTTCAGTGTTTCCAGTTGATTGTGGACACACACGCCACAATAAAACCCAAACATAATCAGTTTCCCATGTGTCAGAGAATGGGCTACTTTTCTTAAAGACTATAGGCAAAATTTTTTTTCCTAAATACCAGGGAATAAAAATGGTTTGGGATCGTAAGCCATTAACGGAAAACATATGCAGGCTTCAAAATTATAGATTCAATTCCTCTTTAAAATGAATGCAAGATACTGCTCTGCAGCGGCAGGACCCCACTGCAGGCCTTGCTATTCATCTTGCGACCTTCTTTGTGGCACCTTCATTGCACTCAGAAGTGCAAGGTGCTGCACGTCGCGTGTCGTCTCGTGTATTTGAGTCCAGTCGTTATACATGTATGTGCTCCGCACCAAACACATGCCAAGTCCCATCCCAGCCAGCGGGGCTTCAAGCAGACACTCAGGGACTTTGCCAAACTGAAGCTACCCCCCTACCCCTCACCTCGTTTACCAGGATGCTGTAGCCCACAAAGGCGAGGTGACCATTCACACGTGCAATTTTATTCAAATACAGAGAAACTATGCTGAACTAGTGCCTCGCTGAAGCTGCTGGCGAGAGCCCAGGACATACCCTTTGAGGAGGAGAAGTCAGGGCTCGGCGTTTGATGAGCAGGGCAGGTCAGTACCATTTGCCAGCTCTGGCAGGAAGCACCCGAGAAGCAGCGAGAGCGCTGCCTGCTCTGCAGAGCTTTCCGAACGTGATCTTCCCCCGAGACAGTCACAAACACCAGTGGGACTTCCCAACCTTCCCCACACAGCTTCTCCTGTTGCCTTAAATGCAAGTGTCTGTAAAGCCTGGAGGGGCTGCGTGAAGGGGCTGCCCCCAGGGCACCCCACTGGCAGGCTGCGTCGGGAGGACCTTGCGGAGACCCGGTGGCGGAGGCACCCAGGCTACTACCCGGGTCTGAAGACACGAAATACACTTCCACAATGACATATTTGCGACAGGCAGTGTCATATGGGAAAGTGGCCTTACAAAACCTTTGCATTTCCCAGGCCCTTTTCTTGGAGCCCCCGGAAGGAGGACGGTAGGATCAGGTCCCATTTGGCCCATGTCACCACAGGTAAAATTGGGAGGGGGGGACTGTTATGACCTCGGTGCTAGCCATGCCCTGGGTACAAATGTTTGGCCAGCTCAGGCCCTTCACTCTTCATATTTCTTCTGTTGATCATTCGGCAATTTTCAAAGTGCTGTCTGGAGGGTGTTTACTTCTGTGCAACCCTAGAAAAACAGAGCTAGGCAGAATAATCCTTTCATTGGAAGTCTCGGTTTTTCTACATTTTGTTTTGGTCACAAGAGAAATCAAAACACAGAACATTTTTTTGCAGAATACAGAGTTCCAAAATTTCTATCTGGAATTTTAACTATGACACTGTTCCAAGAGGAACAAAATATTTTGTTCAAAATATGAACATTTCAGATGTCCATCTGTAACACTAAAGCATCATTTCTAAAGCGGTGTTTTCAAAATAAACAGAAAAAAGTCAAATGAAATTGGTATTTTTCTGCAGAAAAAAAATTTCAGTGAAGCCTGAAACTTCACTGGAAAAAAACTGCAGTGAAAGACTTCTGACCAGTTCTAATAAAGGCAATGAAGTCTACATGATTGATAACATGCACAGACTTCAAGTCAAGAGAATTATTCTAATAAAAAAGAATAATTACACATTCTTACACACATAAACAAACTATATCCGGAACCAAGAGTCTGGTAGCCCATCAGATAGTATTAAAAAAAACTCTCTGTTGCTTGGTCTATGGTGTATTTCATTCACAGCACAATTTTCCGAAGAGTCTTTGGATGGAGGAAAAAGCTGGAGACTAAACTAAATGCAACCCCCCAAACCGCAGCACGAGCCCTGCAGCTCCTCACTGAAGGGGATAAGGCCGTATCCTCCACCTGCTGAAACGGCCTAACGGTTATGAATACTACTGAGCTGCTCTTATTCTTTGCGTGACATCAAGACAAATCAGAGTGAACGTGTGACAATACGTTTTATCGTGCTGCTCGTGTGGTTTGGCTTAACAGACGTAGATATTAAAGGGAGGTATTGCAGTCCCAAACCTACTGAAGCCAACGGGAATTTTGCCGCTGACTTCAAAGCTAAGGTCTCTATCAATAATTTTTAAGGATTTATGAGCAAAAATCTTAATGACTTCGAGGGAAATAATATTCCATAGCTTCTTTTGAAATTGTCATCTTTCCTCAGTATGTAAGTTGTTAAAATCTTACCATTTTCTATACAACAGATGGCAGGCACCAACTTCAGCGCACAAGTAACAGAAAGGAAAAGTTTTCCGTTGTGGTGTTGTGTGTGCCAGTGTGCTCCTGTGCTCCTCTAGCTACCAACAGACAGGGGATTTTTCTTCCTTCAAACTGTGACAATAAAATGATTCCCCCGCCGCAGTTTAGCATAATGGTTCAGAAACGCTCGTGGCGTATTGCAGAGTTAAAGTGGAAATTATTAGGTAGCTCTTCTTTGTTATAATA